CATAACATTTTCAAGGCATTTTACAATGAGGCTAAAATCTTGAGAGTCAAAGTTCTCATCAGTTCAATTATTTTAATTGTAGTCTTGAGGGCCTCAGTAGTTAAAAAAGTGCTAAATCATTGATTTAAATGTCTAGATTTTTGAGTTTAACTGTGCAGATATAGACAGAGGCCGCATCAGAGGTGTTTTGACAATGAAGATTAATAGTCTTGCAGTCATTATTATTACCGTGTCCAGACCAATATGTTTTGCCCTCGTTTTCACTGAAGTGTTGGGTGTCAAGATTGTTGTAGCCCATGAGGTAGATATAGCAAAGTGGCTATTTATTTAAAACCAGACGATAGAAGTTGCCCAAATTTCCAGATATTTCCAGGTCAAGAAAATAGAAGTAAAATAACATTGGATTGTCCCATAATTTTGAAAAATTCGGTATGTGGAAATGAAAATTATGCCAAAAGATTTGAAAGTGAAAAACACAACAACCTCTCAGTGAAAACTGATAAAAATAGGCCAGGAAATTATATATCATTCAGTCTCACTTCAGTGGCTGAGAAACTACTGAAATTTATAAAAGATGTCAAATTACCAAGTACTTTGTGAATCAAGTTAATTAGTGGCATTCAGGTTGAATTTCCACAAGGCTGGTCATGCTTGACTGAATATAAATCTTTGATGAAATAACAGGAATGATAGATAAAAGAGTTGGAGTGCATATGGTTTATATAGATCTTCAAAAGACATTTAAGAAGTTACCAATTTAAAGAGTTGTGTCAAAATAATGAGTCATTGACTTAAGGGGATTGGAGCCATATGAATGCAGAAATTATGGAAGGCAGAAAGCAAAGGGTAGACATGTTAGCAAGTTTATTGAACTTAGAAGACAAGTCAAGTCAAGATTGGGCTTCTTTTTATTTACTATATAAGTTACTATGCTACATTTACAGGTAAATGAGGGAGTCAGCTGAGTTGGCTGAATGGCTGGTTTGCATTGCAGAGACAACAACAGCACAGGTACAATTCCTTCACCAGCTGAGATTACCATGAAAGTTCTGCCTTCTCAATCTTACCCTTTGCCTGAGGTATGGTGACCCTCAGGGTAAACTCACCACCAGTCGTCTCTCTAATGACAGCACGGTCCTCTGGACTTTGTGGCTACTACAGGTGATCACTTACAAATTGAGGGGATTAAGTTTGTGAATAACACCAACTATTGTAAATGGCAATATCAATGAGGTTTATGAAAAAAGTCAGGATAAATTAGACAATTTAGCAGGCCAGACAGTCTGGTTACAGGTACATTTCAATGTGAAGCAATACTTCTGGAAGAAAGCTTAGAGAAATGACATACAAATTAAATTAAAAGATTTTAAATGAATTTGAGAAAATGGACATTGATGGATTAAAATACAGATCGATAAAATTGCAAGCAGCTGAAGCCATCAATATGGAAAGCATTGATTTAGTATCTAGATGCAAGGAATATAGACACAAGTAGACAATTTAAAACTTATGCAGAACACATTTAGGTTCCAATTGAAGTGCCTTGCGTATAATTGTAGACCCTCTATTAGGGAAAAGATTTAAAATCAATGGAACAGTGTGATGCATTTTTAAAAGACAGGAGGGAGATACAAATTTGAGAAGGATGGGATTTTCTCACTAAATCTGAGAAGGATAAAAGATGAACTGACAGACTTTCAAGAGGGTGAAATAACATGTTACGCGAAGCAACGACTAAATGGTTAGTATGACAAAACAAGATGGAATAAATTAGGATAATCAGACTTTCAAAAATTAAAGGGGATAATGAAGAGGTATGTTATAATTTTAAGTTTAAATATCTTAACTAAAATAATTTGAAGACTCAGGGATTTTAGTCCCTCCCCTATGAGTTCTGAACACCCTGCTCATGAAAGTTAGCTCACAATTTAAGATATTTATCTTTATGAAAGCAGTATGTGGGATTGTAACAATAGCATCTTCTTGTGATCAGATTTAGTCACAACTGTCTTTTGCACATTTGTGCCTTCAGTACCTCCAAAAGGAAGACTGAACAAATTATAAATGACATTATTCCACAGCTAAGTTAAATGTATAGTGATGGCAATATGATCAGAATAGCTTAGTTGAAATGACACCATGTGTATTCATATAAATATACCAAATAAAGAACATTCAGCATCTTTCTTTGGTAGGTTCTGGTACACTCCTGCCAATGAAATGTTTTTCCATACTTTCCCTATCGAAACCTCAGCAACTAATAAATGTTACAGAGCAGAGGAGGTCCATCTGGCCGATTGCATCTGCACCACCAATTCAAATGTGTATTATTAACTGGTACCAATCTCCTGCTTTCGCCATATTTTTTGCACATTATTTGCATCCAAATAATCACCCAAAGCACTTTTGAACTTGCCTCCCACACACTTTCAGGCAGTGCATTTTACATCCTAACAATTTACTATGTGAAAAAGATTTTTCTTGCATCATATTTGCTCTTTTTGCAAATCATTTAAAATTTACGTCCTCTGGCTCTTGTTCAGCAGGAACAATTTTTCATTATTCATTCTATCAAGATCATCCATGATTTTGGAAATCTCCTTCATATCCCTATACAGCTTTCTTTTCTCCAAAGGCTACAGTTCCAACTTCTTCAATCCATTCTCATTACTGAAGTTCTTCATTCCTGGAACCATTCTTGTAAATCATTTCTGCGCGCTCTCCAATATGGAACATAGATATTCATGCCACAACACTTTGTCAGGACTGGGGGGAGTCCAGAAATAAATAGAGGGAGGGGTTGGGGCTGGTGAACGGTAGATGGGATGGTGATAGGTGGATGCGGGTAAGGCGTTATAGTAATTTGCCAGTGGGAAGGGTAGAGCGTATAGGTGAGTAGAAAGATGGACAGGTTAGGACAAGTCAGGGAGGCAGACATGGGATAAGGCTGGGGGAGGAGGAATTTTGAAGCTGGTGAAGTCAATATTCAGGCCCTTGGGCTGCAAGCTCCTAAGATGAAATATCAGATGTTGTTCCTCCAGGTTATGTTTGGCCTCACTCTGACAGTGGAGAAGGCCAAGGATGGACATGTTGCCAAAGGAGTGGGATAGGGAATTAAAATGGATGAAAGTCGTGTTGTTTGGTGTATGCAGAGCACAGATGGTCCACAAACTAGTCCCTAGTCTGCATTTGGTATCCCCGGTATGGAGGAGACCACTTCAGGAGCAACAGATGCAATAAATCAGGTTGGCTGAGCTGCAGGTGACTCTCTGCCAGATCAACCCTTCCCACTGACCAATCACTATAACACCTTACCTGCATCCACCTATCACCACCTCACTTACCGTTCCCAAGCCCCACCTCCTCACCCTGTTTATTTCTGGGCTCTCCTCCCCCTCCCCCTCCCCAGTCCTGATGAAGGACTTCGGCCTGAAACATTGACTTTCCTGTTCCTCTGATGCTCTGTTGGTCCAGCTCCACATTTATTGACCCTGGCTTCCAGCATCTGCAGTCCCTACTGTCTCACAGATATTCATGCCTTCTATAATGTGGTGCCCAAACTGTACACAGTTCCACATCACCTCTTTGCTCTTTTACTCTGCGCCCCATTCATAAAGCTGAGGATATTGTGTGCCTGAGATAACAAGGTGTAGAGCTGAATGAACACAGCAGGCCAAGCAGCATCATAGGAGCAGGAAGGCTGACGTTTCGGGCCTAGACCCTTCATCAGAACATTATCTGGGTCTCTGGATTAACAGTCCAGCGATAATACCACTAGCTTTCCTGCTCCTATGATGCTGCTTGGCCTGCTGTGTTCATCCAGCTCTACACTTTGTTATCTCAGATTTTCCAGCATCTGCAGTTCCTACTATCTCTGATATTGTATGCCTTGTTAACTAATCTCTTCACTTGTCCTGCCACGTTCAATGACCTTTGCATACTTACATCCAAGGTTCCTGAACTCCTGCATACCCTGTAAACGTTTAACAACGTTAAACAATATTTTAAAATCTTCCAGACATCCCCTGCTTTGAGGGCAAGAGTCCTATTTTCTTTCTCCAAATAACTGAAATCCTTAATCTCAGGCACTATTCTAATAAATGCACTCTGCACCCTCTACAATCTCTTGCCATTTTTTACAGCATGATGCCCAAGCCTGGACAAAAGGTTGGCCTAACCAATCACACAGTGTCCCTCACTATACATGAGACATTATGGGACTGCTGGACACCACTTGGACTGAATTGTGGATAAAAGGAACAATATTACAATTTGAACACAATGTAGGAGTAAATTATTGCAGATGCTGGAATCTGTACTGACAACAAAATATGATGGAGATCACAGTGGGAGCAAATTACTGCAGATGCTGGAATCTGTACTGAAAACAACAAATGCTGGGGCTCACAGCGTGTCAGACAGCATCCATGGAGACAGAGGAAGCCAACATTTCGAGTCCAGGTGACTCTTCACAGCATCAGACTCTTCAGAGCTGTGACCTGCAGCATTTTTTGTAGTAATTACAATTTGAGTATTTGGAATTCATTATGTCCTTTTAAAGGATTGAGCAATTATGATTTCAGTAATTGTTTTTCTGATTAAGGATCAATCATTCAAATTGCTAAATTAAAACTATTACCGTATAATGGAGGATGCAAGAACACACAAAGATTCAAGGTGCGTGTCGTCAGGTTGAAGGCTGCCAGGTACCTGACGTGTCATTGGTAGACCACGCTGTCAATCATTCTGATGCCTGGTAACGGTCATGGCGACGGTGGGGCCAATGGAGAAACGTGATAGGCGGGACCTACGCTTGTGACGGCAGACGTATGGAGGCGACACGCATAAAACGCGGCGGGAGGGATGATGGATGTGGATGATACCCAATAGAGAGCGCAGTTTGGATTGATCGACATACATAGATCCCAATGGTCAGCAGGTGATTGCGTGATCGATGGGCGGGGCCGGATTGGGCGAGGCGGGAGCCGCGGGGCGCTGGCCAGTGACTGCGGTCGGGGGGCGGGATTTAACCGTTGCCGTGAGGGGAAGGTGCAGTTGGTGGTACTGCCCGATGTTCGGTGTCGCTGGAGGTGAGGAAAATAATGGAACGTGTGTGGAGAAGGAAGGGGGAGGTGAGGGACTGGGGGACTTGCGTTATGGTGGGTTTGGGGAGTGCTTCCTGTCTCGGTGGAGGAGGTGGTGGGACTGCCGGGCAGGGATGGAGCGGCCTGTGGGTTGTGAGGAGGAGGAGGAAGTGCCGCTTCTTTACCCCGCAGCTACCTCCTGTAGGCTCCCCGCCCCCACCACAACTTTACAAAATAGCAACAGTATGAATTAGAAGAAAGAATTGGCCTAGAACTCATAATGTGTCTTTTCATGTCATCTCTGGAATCTTTAATGTATTTTTGTTAAGGATGTAATGTTTTTGTCCTATGATTATTTGGTCAAAAGTCATTCTCTTCGTGTGTTTTGCCAAAGTATAACTAGATGTTTTCCTTGTGACCTTTGTGCCGGTGGATCGCCATCGGTGCTGATTCTGTATGATGAAGGGCTGGAATCCAGGTTTTTACCCCATTTTTGATTTGCGCCTGACTGTGAACCCAAAATTTATTGCTGCCTGTCCAAGTCAGCAGGTGGGTGGTGGCGACATGTCGAGTTTTTGAGTCGGGGGGGAAACCCGATCTTAGTACTTCTTCGGTTTTTCACGTTGCCTGCTCCTCTACAACCACACTGCTGCGGTACGCACCTTTATGGGGAAGTTGTCTCTTAACTGCGGAAATGTTTTGAAGTTAATCTGACCATTTTGTAGTTGCTCGTAAAAATTCTGGTTCCAGGTCTGTAGAACGTGGCGAAAATTGGTTGATACTTTAGTAAAAGAATGTTTTCCGTCTTGTCACGTGGTAATTGGGATTGCTATGGCTATTCGGGATATTCTTTTGAACACCAAAGTTATTGAAGTTGTGGTGAGAATATTACCCTTAATTCCAGGATATTTCATATTACGTTGTGGGTGCTCCATTTGTAACATCGAAATTTTACAAACCAAAGTTAATTATGTCTTGCTAGTGCCACAGTCTACTTTGCCACAGTGGGATTAATAGGTTTCAGAAATTAACTTTGTGTCAAATGTTTTGTTAATGCAATTGAGTTATTGTTTTAACCCAATGGAAGCTCAAATGGTATCATTTCATCTAAACCCATGTGTCCTAACCTGGAACTTGCTTCACTGCGTGTCTTTCATTTTAATGCATACAAACTAAAATGCTTCCATAAATGAAGGAAATACAGTAAAAATGTTACTGTTAATGCTGTTAAAAGCACTGAAATGAAAGGTTTCCCTTCAATGTGATACATAGTTAAAATCGCATCGAAGAGTTCCTTACCTTTCCCTTCCCCTCTAATTTAAACTGTAGTGATTTTTTTTGATATTTCCCAGCTGTTGCCTCAGGAACACTTTCACTGAAAATTGTCTTGTAAGAGAGGGTATGAGATGTGGATGGCAAGCAAATATCCTGCTGCTGCAGCTTAGCAGTTTGTCATTTGTGTGTTATGTAACAGTATCCTGTACTTGTTTAAATGTTTTTTTTTCTGTTTTGCATTTTTAAAACAAGTAGGTCATGGGAGGGAGTGAAAAATTTAAAAATTGAAAAGAAAAATTGTTTCAAAAATTTTCAAGTTTCTTACCCAGAAACCAAAGAATAAATTGCATTGCCATCATCTACTCTACCAACTTGCATCGCATTTCTGAAACGTCTGTCATATCTTCTGCTTTGCTGTGAATGATGATGCATAAAATACACCTGATGGACATATAGCACAGATTTAATCAAGGAAGTTAAATGTATTTTGAAATGACGATGCTTCATATACAATCCCATAAACAATGATCAGATGTAAACTCTATAGTCATGCCATGTTCACTGGTAAATGATGGTGAACAATTAAACAGCTACTTTTGAGGAGGAGGCTCCATGATATCCCCATCAAGAATGATGGGGGAGCTCAGCACTTCAGTGCAAAAGTCAAGGCTGATGCATTTATGTCCATCTTCAGCCAGAAGTGCCAAATGAATGATATATCTCGGACTCTGCCTGAGGTCTCCAGCATCACAGCTGCCAGTCTTCAACCAATTTGATTCACTCCACCAAGAAACACATGAAAACGTTGGGTATTCCAAAAGCCCTGACAACATTCTGCAATGGTGCTATAGACCTGTGCTCCAGAACTAGCTATACGCCTGGTCAAGCTGTTCCAGTACGACTACAACATTGCCATCTATCAACAAAGTGGAAAATTGTCTAGGTATGTTCTGTGGAGTAAAAGCAGGATAATTCCAACTCAACCAGTTACTACCCACGTTAATCTTTGCTCGATCATTAGCAAGGTGACATACTATCAGCAGCATTTGCAAATAAATAACTTGTATATTAATGCAGTTTCGGTTCTGCTAGGGCCATTCAACTTGCGACCTCATTATTGTTTTGGTCCAAACATGGATAAAAGAACTGAACTCCAGAGATGAGGTGAGAGTGACTGTTGATGTAACAGGCATTCAACCAAGAATGGACGTCTAGCAAAACTGGAGGTAATGGGAATCGGTGGGAAAACTCTTTGCTCCAGTTGGAGTCATACCTAGCACAAAGGAAGATGATGGATATTGGAAGTCAGTCATCTCTAGGACATCACTGCAGCAGATCCTCTGATATCCTAGGCCCAACCTCATCTTCAACCTCTTCATTGATGAATCCTCACCCCTTCCGTCATAAGGTCAGAAATGGGAGAATGTTTGTTTGCACCAATGGTCAGCATCGTTGACATCATCTCATACTGAAGTTTTGTGTTCTTATGCAATAAAAGGCTGATAAGTAGCAGGTAACATTTCTGCTTCACAAGTACCAGGAATTTTGTTTTATTCATTCACAGGATGAGTGTGTCGCTGGCTAGGCAGCATTTATTGCCCATCCCTAATTGCCCAGAGGGGACCACATTGCTGTGGGTCTGGAGTCACATGTAGACCAGACTAGGTAAACATGGCAATTTCCTTCCCTAAAGGACATGAGTGAACCAGATGGGTTTTTCAAACCATCGACAATGGATTCATGGTCATCATTAGACTCTTAATTCCAGATATTTATGGAATTCAAATTCCACCGTCTGCCGTGGTGGGATTCCAACCCAGGTTCCCAGAACATTATCTGCGTCCCTGGATTAACAGTCCAGCAATAATACCAGTAGGCCATTGTCTCCCCAACATTGAATTATCATTCCCAACAAGAAAGAATGTAACTATCACTACCCACTATCAACATCTTGGGAGATTCCATTGACCAGACACTGAACTGGGCTAGCTATGTACATACTGCAAATGTAAAATCAGGTCAGAGTCTCGGGATTTTGTGGTGATAATTCACTCGTTATCTGCTCAATGCATGTCCACCATCTGCAGGCACAAGACAGAAGTGGGATTGGAGATCTCCAGTTGCCTAGTTGAGAACTGCTCAAACAACTTTAAAGAAGTTTGCCACCATGCAAGATAAAAGGCCCACTTGATTGGCACCCTATTACCACCATCAGCGTTCACTTGATTTACTACCAATACACAGTGGCATTAGTGTGTTCCATCTACAAGATGTATCACTCTAACTCATCAAGGCTTCTTCAACATCTTCCAAACCAAGTTCAAGAGCAACAGATACCTGGGAACACCATCGCCTTCAAGTGCACCTTTTTAAATACCACACCGTCCTGACTTGGATCCATTTCGCTGTACTTTTGCCATCGTTGGGTCAGAATTCTGGAACTCCCTAAGCACTGTGGTGACCTATTCACAGAAGACTGCAATAGTTCAAGGTGGCTCGTCGCCACTTATTCCAGGGTAATTGGGGATGTTCAGTAAGTGCTAGCCTAGCTAGCAATGCACATTTCCCGTAAATGGAAAAGCAATTTCTTGACTAGCTTAACTTTTGAAGTATTGTGGAAAAATTGTTTCATTCCAACTTTTACAGAAATCACTCTAGGTATTTCAACAAAAGAGGTCATTGAAAGAACACAAGATTTTTAATAACATTGCTTCTTTGAAATTACATGTTTTGGCAATATCTGATCTGCTGTATACTCTGCTGGGCTATTTAAATTGAGACTGGATGGTGCCTGGAATTAGTTAGGCAAGAGGTCTATGAGGAATGGCTGCTACCAGTGTTCAGAGTGAAACCTATTTGTTCACCTGACAGGGATCGAAGTGTACTCAGGAAATACAAAGCAGACAAAGGAACTTGTCAGAAAATCCTCCAGAGATATATGCTTTAGAGTTATTCTTGCAGGCAAAAGGGATAATGGCCAGGAAGTAGGTGTCAGGAAGTTTTGTTTTAAATGAACCTCTGTAGAGAGAAAAATATCTTTTTTTCCTCTTTACCTGATGCATGTATTTTGGCGTTATTTAAAGTGATAAACATTTATACTTCGATATTGCCAACTGTGTATGCAAGCCAACCATTGCATTTTCATTGAAATAAATTTTTGTTTTGGTAATCCAGTAATTGTGTTAATCAAAGAAACCTGGTTGATAGTTTAGTTTATTTGTTATTTGAAACCTGATGTAGAAAAGATATTTACTTGGCCATTTTGGTCACTGGGAAAAGTTATTTTTTTGTTTTGAATTATGGCCTGTGGAATACCGAGAGGAGAGTAATAATGCACTTCCCCAGCCTAAGCATCAGTTGTAACAATTAATGGATTTGAAATAAGTTAAGGTGCACTTAGCACATTAGATTTAGTATTTTCCAAGAAAACTTTACATGTATTAATCTTTATCCCGAAAGAGATTTCTGAAGCGTGTAGAAATCTTTTGCCTATGTTTGCTCTTAGTCTGCACCCCCTCCCAAACAGCTGACTCCATATTGTCTTAATGGAGTATTTAACCAAAAATCTGTATCTATCTTTGTAATTTCATTTTAGTTGTCAACTAGATCTTTTTATGGCGTAAGTAACACTATGCCATTTGATAATGCTAATGTCTGATCGACATGCCTATTATTTGTGGGGGTAAGGTGGATTTTAAAACATAATCTCTAGTTTGGCCTGAGACTGTTTA